GACTCCGTGGGGCTCTGCAATGCTGCTGCTGTGGGCCCTGGCGAGATGGGCTGGGGTCTCAATGCCTTGGGTGGCATTTTGGGAACAGAGGTGCCTATTGGACCAGTGGGAAAGCTGGCTTCCTGGAGGGCTTAGGCCAACCTGCCATTCCTCCCCACTCCCTTAGATTTTTCTCTTCCTGCTCCCTCACATCATCACACAAACATGCTTATAGGACCTTGCACCCTAATTTTATTTGCACATTAAACACTTCCACCACCGACATTCTACACAAACATACACTTAGGGTCTTGGGAGTGAGCACACTCAACGGCATTTGGCAAGGGGATCTTTCAGCCTCATCCCGAGTGCCGGTGTCCACATCCAATTTTAAACTGCACTTAGACACAGAGGGTTGGGGGGGGGGGGGGGGGGGTTGGAGTTGTGTGGTGGCATCAGCTGGCATAGGCCAGACAATGTCTGCACTGCCCGCTCACCACAGCCATGGAATACACCTCATCAACACGCACTAACAATGTACTGGACCAGGCAGAGTGAGACTAGGGCACACCTCTGTTGTTGCTTGGCTTCCCGGGGCTGGAGACTAGGAGGGGGAGCTATCCGTCTGGTTGGGGTCTGGGTGGTGGGTTGCTTTGCTCAGCGTTGGGCGGGGGGGGGGGGGGGGGGGGGGGGGGGGGGGCTGCTCATCATCACCTCAGCAAAAAGGGTTGAACTCTGGGAAATGGTGATGATTGTACGCTTTGTGCAGCAGCACTGAGACCAGAGGGAATAGGGTGTGTATAGTGGGTGTCTAGCATTCATTTTTGTAAGTCTTGGGTTGTATGTGTATGTGTGAGCATGAGGAGCATGAGAGAGGGAATGTGTGACTGTGTCTGTGTATGGCTGTATATGTCAGGTGGGGTCTTGGACTCCTCCCCTCTCCTGGGACTTTTTGTGCTGCTGCACATCTTCACCTGCCCTCCGCCTGCCACATTTGGTGTGGAGTGTGGTGCCATGGACTGCCTGAGTGTTCGCGGCTCCAGGGTCAGGAGGTTTAAGATTTTGGCATCTGCCTGATTGATCCTGGTGGTTGCGTGTTGGGATCTGCGTCCCTGGGTTCTGTTGGGTCCCCGGCGGGGCTGGTCGCCCCTGGGTCCCGGGTCGCTGGCTCGGCAACAAAAAAAACTTGCATGTGTCTAGTTAGCTTAGTCTCCCCATGCATGAGTGGAGTTCAAGCCCCCATAATTCTGGTCTGGATATGATGCAAAACAGGAAGTGACAAAAATTGCGATTCCACCCTCCTCCACTGGGGGCTGGTGTCAGAAGCGAGCAGATCCTCATTGACTCCCATGTTAAAAATACCATTTTCACAGCAGAAATAATCATGTTAATAGCCTGGTTCCAAAACATGTTTTAGGTTTAATAGATCTGGTTTACACTCATGACAACTCTGAGGGGGGTGAACTTTTTTCTCACGCTTCTGTTTAAGTGTATTAAATGTTTAAAATTCTGAATAATTAATGAGCATCAGACCGACGTGACCGCAGAGCTAGCTCCGGGGAAAGGCCTCAGCCTGAGACTCGGCCTTGCCTTAAAACTGTTATGCGATTTTCAGTCTCTCAACTTAGACCATTAGTTGTGCCGTTTGTGCGTTCTTTTTTTGGATATTATTTGTGCAATTGTCGGACAAAATGACTTGCTGTGGTATTAATTGCTCTAATAGAGCGTCCAAGAAGTCTCCACTTGTTTTTTTTTTTGGTAAATATAATTATAGTTATGTATTTTAGGTCACTGCCGCTCTTGTGCTAGCTGAGCTTATCAAAGTAGCTCGCTGACAACCATTTTAACATGTAATGTTCAACCATGACATTTAAATTTAATAGGGTGAAACCCAGAGCATTTAACTTGACATTGCATTTTTGAAAAAGGGTTGAAATATGACATGTTGGTGGAGCTGGGTTCCGACTATTGGTATGGACTCCCTCCCTTCAGCTGTAGATTGGCGTATCTCTGATCGCAGCGGCGCCTGTCTGCTGTGTGAGCTTCCGGCTTGTGGAGCTCTCGGGAGACCTCTGTGTTCCACCCGGTTCTCCCCAGTGGTCAGCCCGGCACATCTCTGACTCAGAAGCTCCGGTGTTGTGCACAGTTAACTCCGGTTTTAGCTAGGTAGCTACCTCCGTTAGCTAAGCTCCCACCTCTGCGTTGGCTTTGGGTTAGCTTGTAGCTACATTGCTTCAGTTTGGCAGATGTCGTCATTTGATCCAAGCCTTACAGCCCCACCTTTAGCTCCACCTTGTTTCCTTTTTATGGAATTGTCTGGGCGTGACGAGACGTGTGACACAATCAAAGTGGCGGTGGTGACCACCTCCCATTTCAGATTAAAAACTTGAAATACGAGCTTGTGGACAGGAGTTGTCGATGTTGGAATTAGCATGTTCTCCCCATGCATGTGTGGATTTACACAGCTGCCAACTCTCACGCACTGAGCACGAGACACACGCATTTGACCCTCTTCACACGCTCTCATGCTACACCTCCACCGCCTGCGCTCCCCAAACGCGCATCACGCACAGTGTGTAGGGGTTATGAGATGATATTAATGATGGCATTAGCTACTGAACAACATGCACACAAACAACACGTAAGTAATAATTTAACCGGTGTTGTTTCACACACAATCCCATCTGTATGATCCAAGCCGATGTGCTTTTTTCTGCTCTGGTTTTGAGATGGGCGGAGTGGTGAGCTCCACCTGCTGTTGATGGGACGGGCATGCCCGGTTCTTCAGGAACCGTGAGCTGCGGCTGCGCGCACCGCCATAATGAAATGCTTTATTTAGAAATGCAGCCGTGTTACCTGCCGGTGTTGACGGAGCTTCAGTCCCGAATGTTTTTCTTTTGTTTTCACTCATCAGCCACAGATTGCTGCTCTTGCTCACAGCAAGCTGGGCTTCCTACCGTGGTGACTCACTCACACGTTCCTCCTACATTAGTTTGTGACGTGTATTACTAATGTTTTCATTCACCGCTTCACCAGTGTGTTTTTCCTGTTTGTGAGACGGACCCCTCCTCAATAACCAGGTTACTGGTACGGAAGCCTGGAAAGGCCAAAATTCCTCAAACATTTTTTTTCTACTGGCTGATATGAATGAATATAATAGAACAGAGTAAATGTTATTAGTCCCACAGTGAGGACATCCACTCATTACAGCAGCACACACACTTAGACACACAGATTACAGTAAAACTGATTCCAGCCATGTTTGCTTTGATGACTTCAATTACTTCATGCTGATGAACACATGAACATAATCCTGTTTAGTGGATGCAACTACATCATGAAGTTAGCTTAACATGATAGATTGTTTTTCTTGGCAGGAAATAATAACTGAGAAGACCTCTTATGATGAATTATGTAATTGGAAACCGTGTTCCCTCGCCCGGACGTGGGTCACCGGGGCACCCTTCTGGAGCCAGGCCTGGAGGTGGGGCACGTAGGCGAGCACCTGGTGGCCAGGCTTTCACCCATGGAGCCCGGCCGGGCACAGCCCGAAGAGGAAACGTGGGTTCCCCTTCCCATGGGTTCACTACTCATGAGAGGGGCCAAAGGGGTTCCCCTGGCTATAGGGATTGCAAGGGAAACTGATCACTGTCACTTTAACATGTTTTCCCCATGCATTTGTGGAGTTAGCATGTTCTCTTTTGACATACCTCCAACAGACCAATACAGTTAACTCCTAAGTTGTCCTTAAGTGGGTCTCTGTGATGACTCAAGGCTTGAACAGGGTGTGCCCAACTGCATGAATGGACGGATGGTGTGTGAGCCAGCTCTGGTATTTAGGAACCAGGTGGCCTATAGAGGTCACTCTTTAATTGAACGTGCCTTGTCTGTAGTCACATGACTAACTCTGAACAATCATTTTCTCTTAGTTTGTAAAACTTCTCATTTAAGATTATTTGCTCAAGGATTCTCTGCTCTATTTCCTTTATTTGCATTATGTTTCAAATATAAAATATTTATTTGAATATGGAGATAGTTGCATTAAACCATGGGAGACGGACATCGCTTTCATTAGAGAACGTTATTTTAGTTGATGAATGTTTATGTGCTCAGATTAAATTAGGCTCTAAGTTTGATGGATGTTTCTGTGTTGAGGACGATTCAGCCCTTAGCTAACAACAGAACCCCAAAAGCAAGAGTCAGTCCCAGATTACTGAGCCTTTAGTGGAGATGTTTTAGATCTGCTCGTCACGTGTTATCTACCTGGTGTGTGGATGTCGCCATTCAGCTCACAGGATATTCATCTTTTCACCAACCCATATTATAATAAACTTAATGAAGCATGTGAACAGACGCCAGGGTGTGTATCAGGAGATCCACAACATAAGTGTTTAATGAAATTCATGAGTTAGGAATTGGGCCACAAAAGGCTCTAACCTCTGTGAAGTCCTGCATTCCTTCTCAGTAACATAAGAACAAGCCTCAGTGAGGTGTTACACTTTGTATGACACAGTTTCTGCTTTCAGGAGGAGCCTTGTTTATCGACTGCAGCTTTTGGTCGGCGTTTCAAAAAAGGGCTTAAAAGGTCTCAGGCGACATTGCTTCCCAAGCCCCCCCTGGGAGGAGCTTTTGTCCCAGCCAGGAAGCCTCCCCTGCCTGCAGGTATAGGATGACAAGGCTTTACACGCTGCTGCCTATAGATGGGAACGAGGCTGGTAGCTGGGGGGGGGGGGGGGGGGGGGGGGGGTACATCAACCAGCCGCTCTCCAGCTAATGGTCAGCAGCAGAGGGGGGGGGGGGGGGGGGTACATCAACCAGCCGCTCTCCAGCTAATGGTCAGCAGCAGACACCCCCCCCCCCCCACACACACACACAAAAACATGCTTCCACACATAAATGCACACAGACTGATTAATTAGCCTGATGATGTTTTGTGGTTAAACGAAACACTTTTATCATCTGGTTAAAACAAACATTTCAGGAAGCGTTTATGTGGTGTGTGTGTGTGTGTGTGTGTGTGTGTGTGTGTGTGTGTGTGTGTGTGTGTGTGTGTGTGTGTGTGGATTCAGGTGAATCAGATGTTTGCAGAGACACTCAACAGTCAGTTCTTTGGTTTTGGGTCAGAACCAGGCAGTGAGTGAAAACCATCAAACAACAGTTAGCACAGCAATAGTCTCATCAATAAGTTACGTTTCACACACCAAATAAATATTCCTAAGTTTAGTAAAACATCCTGTCTGTGTTCCCAGCAGAAGTCCCCATCTCACACCTGGACTGTCCTACCTGAGTGGCTCATAATGATGTCCATGTGTCAGAACTAGGCCTGACAGGTACAAATAACAAGGTCTAAAGGGTCCACATTAAGATGATTTCTTTTACTGGAAAATATGTTACATAATAGTACAAATATTTTATCTAGCATGAATCATTTGTTTACATTTGGAAGACATGAAATGCAGTTTTGTAGAGGATGAAGCAGAAATGGACAGAGTGAATGGATCTGGGCAGGTTTTACAAAAGGCCTGCTCTCCGGCTCCTGTGGGAGTCCTCTTCCTCCGTTGAGTTTTCTTTCTTATCCTGTGCATCGAGAAAACTCACTAATCCAGAGGGCAGCTCCACATCCCCCAATGCAATCAAGCTGTAATATGTGCCAAAACCCAGAATTTATGCATACATGAGTCATGGAGCACAAGCTCAGATCCAGAGTCTAGGGCTGAGCGGGCTGCCAACCCCTGCTCTTCCTGGCACGATGCCGGCGTCTCCGGCGCTCCCTGCGGCCCCTGGTGGGCTTCTGTGCACCTTGACTGTCTGTCAACCTCCTCACCATCTCATGGTCCTTGTTGTCCAGCACGCGAGGCAGAAAGAGTGAGGCTTTGTCTGTGCTGCGGGTCTTGAACCCTCTCCGTGGTCGTCCCTTGCCGTTAATGGAAACATACCACTGCCTCCTGATGCTAGCTCGCCTCTTGTTGTTACTGCCTGCTCCTGCTGGCAGCGGCTGCTCTGTGGAATGGTGTCGTGATGCGTAGGTGTTGTACCCCAACTCATGGATGCGCTCCACAAACTCACACTCTTTATTAAACCCTTCCTGTTGACAAAGGTAAAGAAAGAGTGAATCACGCTAGTGGTGGAAATGCTGACTTAGGTTCAGACGAGTGGCTGGAAACTTGCTGTTTACTGTGTGTGTGTGTGTGTGTGTGTGTGTGTGTGTGTGTGTGTGTGTGTGTGTGTGTGTGTGTGTGTGTGTGTGTGTGTGTGTGTGTGTGTGTGTGTGTGTGTGTGTGTGTGTGTGTGTGTGTGTGTGTGTGTGTGTGTGTGTGTGTGTGTGTGTCTGCTCTGTCTTCTCGATCCCCAGTGAGTCGTGGTGGATGGCTGCTTATGCTGAGCCAGGATCCTCTGGAGGTTTCTTCCTGTTAAAAGGGAGTTTTCCTCTCCACTGTCACTGCATGCTTGCTTAGTATGAGGATTGCTGTAAAGACTCTGACACTAGTCAGTGACTCGATGCAACCTGCTGGGTTCCTTATATAGGAAACTTTTTTCTGATTGGCTTAATGACCAGGGGTCTCATTTATCAAACATTGCATAGAATCCTTACTAAAACCGTACTTGAGCTCAGCAAAATAATGTACTTACACCAAGGGTTGTGATCTATCAAACATGGAGTACGCACAGCTGCACGCAATCTTTGCTTCATAAATCCGAGACTAACGAGAAAGGTTCTCAGCTGCATTTTAGTCACATCCCGCCCTCACCACGCCCACTTACGGCCATAAATAGTCAATGCAAAGTGTCTTGTGGATCTCATGCATATACATAAGCTGGTTGTTGCAGCATTTCGATCATGACTGTAGATCAAGGAAGCGCTATTTCACAAAAGCAGAAGTTGAGGTACTTGTGGGTGAGGTGGAGAAATGAAAGGAAGTGCTTTTGCAAAACAAATAAGAGAAAATCCACAGAGTGGCACAGCGTTGCTGAAGCCGTCAATGTTGTGAGTTCTTCAGAGAGATCTGTGGCGGATATAAAAAAAATGGTCCAATCGGGATTCGATCCCCAGACTCCCAGGTGAAAGTCACGCACGCAAACCAGTCAGCCAGAAAGAGATCTCCCTTGTCCAAGTAGCCAGGGCGCATGGTCAACCGGGTCACAGTGACAGGACACACACACTGTCACAGACGCATGACATTCCGTCTCAATCTGTCCCCCTGCTGATATTCTGCATTCTGTATTCTGCGCTTCAGGCTGTGTGTGTGTGTGTGTGCGCGTGTGTGGGGGATCTTGTTCTGTGTGAACACGAAGCAGTACAAGTGATAATGCTGCAGGATTTCATAATTGTATCTTCTCAGCAGCAGCACTGCAGGTGCTCTCCATGTCCAACATGTGCGTAAGCCAGGTCCTTAGTCAACACTCTCTCTTTCTTAACATTTTTTCTTTTAAATCGCAATTGCTTATTCTTGCTCATTTTACATCTATTTTAAACACTTTCGAAATGCTTTTTTATATTTTTACAATTTTTATATTTTTTGTTTTTGTTTTTGTGAAGCGCCTCGTGATTTTTATCTTGAGAGGCACTATAGAAATGATATTTTCTTCTTCTTCTTAAAGTTTTGCACATTTTTCCGCTAAGTTTTCTTTCATAAATCCCAAAGTTTGCGTGGAAAGTTGCTGACGCAGTTTTCCGACCCCGTTTTGTGCGTAAGCAAGCTTTATAAATGAGGCCTCAGGACTGTATTGGAATGTTTACTGTGTGAAGAGCCTTGAGACGACTCTTGTCATGATTTGGTGCTTCATAAATAAACTTGAATTCAATCGAATTGTGTGTGTGTGTGTGTGTGTGTGTGTGTGTGTGTGTGTGTGTGTGAGTGCATGTGTGTGTGTGTGTATGTTTGTTCATACGTGTGTGTGTGTGTGTGTGTGTAAGTGTGTGAGTGCATGTGTGTGTGCGTGTATGTTTGTTCATGCGTGTGTGTGTGTGTGTGTTTGTGTGTGTGTGTGTAAGTGTGTGAGTGCATGTGTGTGTGCGTGTATGTTTGTTCATGCGTGTGTGTGTATGTGTATTCATGCGTGTGTGTCTGTGTGTGTGTGAGTGAGTGTATGTGTGTGTGTGTGTGTGTGTAAGTGTGTGAGTATATGTTTGTGTGTGTGTATGTTTGTTCATGTGTGTGTGTGTGTGTGTGTGTGTGTGTGCGCGCGTGTGTGTGTACGTTCGTGCATGTGTGTATGTGCGTGTGTGTGCATGTGTGTATTGGTGTGAGTATGTGCATGTGTGTGTATGTGTAATTTATATTTGTGTGTTCCTGTCCTTGATCTCAGACATGAAAACTTGGCCCAGTGCATTCCCTGTCTAATAAAACGTGTGAACAGGTGTGTACTGACCGAGGCGTACAGCCTTCCTTTATCGTTCATGGCCAGATATCTACCGGAGAAAAGCCCTTTGATGGCCACCACGCCCACATCCACTGCTGTGATCTCCATGATGCCTGAAACACAAAAAATAAGCACTGAACAAAAAGCTACAGCTTCAGGGCACCTGACCAGATCAGACACTGGACCAGAATACTACTGTAACACAAGCAGCTATTGGCGGTTACACATGAGCGTCGGTTCGGTCCCGATTTGCGTTTTCAGTTCCAAGGCGACTCTTATTTTCAGACATCCTCCCCAGTGGTCTGACTGGAACTGAGGTGGCACTACGCATAAATTATGTCTACCGCCTCCAATCTGTGAGTAAAATGATCCCAAGGGGTGGGGTGTGTGTGTGGGGGGGTGGGGGGGTTGTTCCCGCATACGCGATTCATTTTCATGCTGGACGCTGTTGAGTAGACTTCTGTCTGTAGCATGGAGCTGCTGCTCAGTGGGAGCGAGAGGAAGGAGTAAGCTCTGTGTGTGTGTGTGTGTGTGTGTGTGTGTGTGTGTGTGTGTGTGTGTGGCACAAGATTATGAGGACACACTCAACAAATTAATAAAACGTGGTTCAGGGTCTCCAAAAGCAATACAGCTCATGCCCGCCTTTGTTTACCTTATAATGGAGGACATCGCAGACTTTCTCGTACTTATTAGACGCCGCCCACAAACTCGGGGATTTCAGCAATCCTGAGAAGTTCCATGGATTTATACGTGAACACTACACCGCCCGTTCCAGACCGAACTCATGCCATCCAGCCCCACCAAATCCCGACCGTGCTAATGTGTAAGGGCAGTACTACACAACCAATTGCTGTTTGGCCCTTGGTTGATAGAAGCAAAGATTTGATCAGGTGGATTAGGATTAGATAGTGTAATCCAGAGCATGCCAGTGGTAAATCTTGTCTCTGTAGTCCTGACATTTATCAGCTAGCTGTAAGTTTCCATCTGTAATCTACAGATTTGGTAGCCTATAAATCTAGACCAACTGCAGCAGAAATAAAAAGGTTTTTTGGTCTAGCCGTGCTCCATGAGAGGTTCAGCAGGTCTACCACTGGCCTGAGCTGTGTGGTGTTTTGCCATTGTTAGCGCTCTATCAGTTTGGTGGACCAATGACAGCGCTTTATTGGTCTGGGTGGGGCTTGGAGTAGATCCGCTGCTCCTCCACATTGAGAGGAGCCAGTTGAGGTGGCTCGGGCATCTGATTAGGATGCCTCCTGGACTCCTCCCTGGTGAGGTTTTATGGGCACGTCCAACTGGGAAGATGCCTAAATAGACACCCAGGACACATTTGAGGGACTATGTCTCTCGCCAGGTCAAGAAATGCCTCGGGGTTCCCCTGGACGAGCTGGCCCAAGTGGCTGGGGAGAGGGAAGTCTGGGCCTTTCAACTTAGGCTGCTGCTTCCAGTTAAGTGGAAGAAAATGGATGGGTGGTGACGTGTTGTTAAACATTTATCAGGCAGACTGGTTCTGTGGTTCTGATCTAATCTGTTGTTCTTAGTAAAAATTAATGTTCCAGATAAACACAACAGCTAAACTGAATTCTGACTAGGAGAAATTCTCACTTTAAATAAACACCTATAATTCAACTCTTACTAGTAAAATGTTGTATCTTCAATAGATCCAATGAAAAAGAAAAACCTCCAGCGATCAGTACTTTTATTTTAATATCTGAACTTACATTTGAACTAGAACTAAGTTCATTTCAGATAGGCAGAACTTCATTCTTGTGCTGCCAACCCAATACACATGAATGGGATGTGTGCGATCATTTGTCCTATATCTGAAGGGTTTGATGTGGATATCTAGAATACAGAAATTAACTTGGAACGACAGATTCATAGATATCTGGTATACATATCCAATCTGCCCAATAAGATAAGATAAGATAAAAACAACTTTATTTATCCCGAGGGAAATTCTTGTGTCATGTACATGCTCAAAGCATTCGGAGAGACAAAGGAACAGGTGAAATAGAAATATGATATAAAATATATACATTAAAAAAATGATCTACAGTAGTACCATGTAGGATAGTGCAAAACAAACAATCGCATATCTCAATAATTAAATACATGACTGCATCCTTGTGAATAAGTAATTAAGCCATCGGTGCAGGCGATTCATAAAAGTGATTGAAATATTGTGTAATAGAATATGGGTTTGTAGCGGCAAATGATATGATGGGGGGGATAAAAACATATTTACAATCAGAACTCTTGAGTGATATTGCATTTTAAGGCTTTGGGTAGGTCTATTTCTACTGCTAAGTACCTGTTGGTATCTGTATTTTCAGTCTGACTATTTGTACTGGCATACAGAATATTGTTGCTTTGTAAAATAACGATACAACAAAGATAAATGATAAATGACCCAGACTTGTATAATGCCTTTCAGACTCCAAAGCGCTTTACACCACAGTGTACCATTGATCCATTCACACACTGATGGTGATGAGCTACGATGTAGCCACAGCTGCCCTGGGCCGCACTGACGAGGTTGCCGAGCACAGGCGCCACCGGTCCCTCCGACCACCACCAGCAGGGTTAAGTGTCTTGCCCAAGGACACTACAGCAGAGTTCTCCATCCAGAGTCAGGATCGAACCTGCAACCTTTCGATTACTAGACAACCTGCTCATCCCCCTGAGCTACTGCCAACACAAGGTGCTGTTGTTAATTAATTATCAAAATTGTTCATTAAATTCAAATTCCGTCCATCGCCACCTGCTGGTGTTATTATTAACAACAAGAATAAAAATAAAACAACATTTTACTGGAAGTGTCTATTTTTAGTGTTTTAGTGTTTTTTGCATTAATCGGCTGTGGTGTGGTTACTGAGAAATGGTTATTGAGTGCTGGTTTTACTACTGTAGGTAAAATAGGTGTAGCCACCTGTGTAATTGTACCACAATGCAGGAAATGGCATCTACACCATATTTACACCCCCCCCCCCACCCACCGCCCCCACCCCCCGGCATGTTTTATGCTTCTGACGCCCATGCTAAACACCAACGGTATTGATTTGAGGCCCGCGGGCCATGAGTAACCCTGCTATAGACTAACAGAGCATAGCGATTCACCTGTGTGGTTTTGGTAGAGGTAAATGCGTGTGATGTCATTAGCACAGAGTCTGCTAGGCTACAAACCCAACACCCCCTGGGTTTGTGGCAGCATTAGGAGATTTTCTCTCTTCTACCCGTCCACCTACTCCACCAGAGACAACAAAACACTAATCCATCAGGTCAACTCAAGGCTGAATGTAGCGCCTCAACAAGGCTTCCCTTGGTCTGGCCCGGTTCCCACGGTAAGATACCCATGCAGGTTTTTCACCTGATTCTCCCCTTCTGACATGATGTGTCTGATTACCATAACGCCTCTAAAGGCAACTGGGCTACCACAGGAAGCTGAAGATACTCTGCTACCAAATTACTCACCAGTGACCTCAAAGAAGTGCTCAACAAGAAAATAAACCTTCAGGGAGGAAAGGAAATTATTGAGGAGTATAAAAATGCAACTCAAAGTCCAGATATGAGACAACGAAACGGTGCACAGGAAACACCTGGGGACCAAACTTCAGCTTATTAATGTACGAGATGTGTGGTCTAGGGGGAGTCATGGATCCTATGCTGCTTCATCACTGTTGTCAACCACATCTGGGGAGGCTGGTGCTTACCCCTCCCACTCGTGTGTTGGAGAAACTAAACAAGGTTAAAGGTCCAGATGGTGTCAGCCTAGAGACACTAGCAGACCAGTTTTGTGGCATTCTGCAGCTCCTTGTCAACCTCAGGCAGGCCAGGAGAAGGTCCAGTGCTGCCTTTTCCTCTCAGTATCTGTTCTGAATGACTACAGACCTGCTGTCCTGCTGGACCAACCGAATGTGCTGACAAACTCCTTTCAGGACCTTTTGCTGATTGCTCATCAGAGTTGGAGTTCGAGGTTAAAACACCATCGCACACCTGCTCGATAAAACCAGTCAGAGCAGCAGCTCATGTTCTCCAGAGCGTTTAAACGACCCAGCCGGATCCATTATATATGAGGAAGTCTAGAAGATAAAATGGTAACATTTACCTTCCAACTGGGATTAATATAGTATTTACTGTTTCTGCTGCTTTGGTGCCCCGTCAGCCAGCAAAGAAGAAGAAGCCCAAAATAAAAATGTTATATTTATTATTTTTATTATTATTATTATTATTATTATTATTATTATTATTATTATTATTATTAGCATTATTAGCATTCATTTTTATGTATACAAATAATAATGATAATAAGTATTATTATCATTATTATTATTAACATAATTTATTGTTATGCATCATTATTATTATTGTTGTTATTATTATTATTATTATTAGCATCAATAATATTATTATGTTTTTTAATAGAAATTTATTTTTAATGGGTGACAAATGCTACATATTCCAGAGCGCGCAATCAACAGTTCGGGCTCTGGGCTGATTTGGACCTGGTTTCGGGTTCTGGTTCTTCGAAGCCCGCTCTCGGTGAGTCGAGCCGGTTCCGGTCGGGTACCGGTAGATTGGACGTGTGAGCTCACGCTGACGGGATCTGTAGGTTTGTCTTTCCAAACATCAAAGTGACGTGAAAAGACCCGACCTGGCTTCTGGAGCAGTCTACCTGTGGGAGCGCAGCGCGCGCTCAGGTGTGTACTGATGGTACTTACTGAGCGGGTTGTTCTCCTCCAGAGACCCGTCAATTCTCCCGTTCGGATGGATCTGGAGGTGAAACTTGCTCGCGCAGTAAAGCTTCCTGCGTCTCGGAGCTCCACCGAGGTGTTCATAAACTCCCCCGCGACCCCCGGCGTCTCTCCGCTGCCGGGGGTCACAAGCTTGGCTTGGCGCGCACCAGGCTCGGGAACGAACGGGATCCACCAGGCTCACGAACAGCAGCAAAGGTATCACCATCATTGTGGCATGGTCGGGGACACACCAATGTAGCGAAAAAACGGACAACTGCAGTCCAGCCCTCCGGGTCGCTCCGGTGCCCCTACATCCCAGTCCGACACGCAGCTCTCGGGATGGTGCTGCGCTGCGGGCCCGTCCCGTAGCGCACTGAGGCCGCCTCACACTGAGCCAAGAGAAAAGAATCTGGTGGCGACAATAGGCTCAACTGGAACCAATTGATACAAAGGAGAGGGGAGGCAAAAGGTACCAGCCCCGCATGAAGCCTCAGATAAAATTACACACTGGACCAGAACGGAACTCCTCTGCTGAAATATCCCAAAAGAGCAACGCCATCCAGGATCACACAGGCTAGAGCAGGTGAAGAAGAGGAGAGCTGCTGGAGGCTCTTCATCTGGAGCCAGAGTAGAAGAATCAGAGACCTGAACCGCCCCACCTCCAACCCCCACCCCCAGTGCTCCTGACCTCCTGAACACATCACACACTGAGAAGTGTCTCCTACGGAAGACTGGAATGGGCCGAGCCGGACCGGGTCGAGCCGGGGGAACCTGTCTGAAGGAGCTGTGCCAGATGGGACTCAGAAGTCTTCTGTCAGGCTTTTAAAAGCTTCAGCCTGTGTTTTGCTGCCTTTGAGGTGAGACACAGGATTCCTGGTGTGTGTTCAGCTCAGAACCTCTGCATTAGTCTCCATCTGTTCCCATCCTAATGCCCCGGCTCTGGCGACGCAGCAGCCGGTGGGCGGAAGAGCAGCAGGCTAAATGACTACTGCTTAAATTGCTTCCATCTTGGTCACATTATGGTTTGCATTCTGGTAATTAGCACCATCATCTACAAATCTCTCTGCCCTTTGGCGCTGCTCCACTGGTGCTACCAAAGCCTCTGCTGAGAATCCCCCAGAGAGTACATGGTTAATTTGTCTTCCCCTCCCATACATCACCCAGCTAGCTGCCCATGTCACTTCATTCACCCCAGCGATCTCAAAAGGCTGCTCTATTAATTACAAATGTGCACAATGCCTTTAAAGTCCAAACAAGTCAGACAACACACAGAACATGAGCCAGGCGTGTGTATCAGAGGTTGTTCTGGTGGCTGTTCCTGGGCCAGAACCTCTGATGTGGTCTGGTGCTGGAAGAGGGTGGAACCTCAGATGTGGTGTTCTGCTGCACTCAGAAACTATTTTAATTATGCCCCCCTCCACATCGCCCACAAAGCAGCCCAGCAATAAGCAGCCAAGCGCTCCCAATTTGTGCTGCACACACTCACGTGCACATCGTCCTCTCACAAGTGTGTGTGTGTGTGTGTGTGTGTGTGTGTGTGTGTGTGTGTGTGTGTGTGAAGAAAATGGTTTATAAAAAGATAAGCACAAGTTTTAAGCCTTAGTCACTTACTGAGACACCCCCCCCCCCCCCCCCCCCCCCCCACACACACACACACACACACACACACACATACATGCACACACACTCACTGGTTGAATCCAGGCTCTTGTTGAGTTGGGTGTACCATCCGAACCATGTGGTGTCTCTTCAGGCTCTCATGAGTGAGGAGCTGCATGACAGGAAGTCGTAATCACGGAGCTGCTCCTCTGAAGAAACCGTGATCGTTGTTGATCTTGATGAGATTTCTATAAACACAACTTTCTTCCAGCTCAGATAAAAACAACAACCCCGATTTCAGTCCGTTTTCAAACAGTTCCGTTTAACCTGATTCCAGTCCTCACACGGGATTACGCCTCAGTCTTGATTTCCACGTGGATTGGAAACAGAACCAAACCCAGCATCAAAAGTAAACTGGGTTGTGCAGCACTCAGCTGGATCGGTCCTCTGTGTTGACATGAATCACATCCCACTGTGATGACTGTGACTTCATTATAATTAGGGGGCAGGTGCTTGTGGTTTTAAACAGGTTGGATGGATTGTTTCTAAATTCTGGAAGCACTTTTTAACATTTCTGAACCCAAACACCGTTTTGCTGCTAGTTCCCAGCCTCAGTGTTGGCCAGTTGGGTTAGAGGGATTCCAATGACCTGTTGCATCTTTACCCAGAAGCTGAGAAAAACAAATACAACAGCTGATCAGTCTTTAGGCCTGGGCTCAAAGGAGGAAGCCTCTGGCTCTGGCAGCGAGGATCGGTCAGTATGTGAGAGGAAGGGTATGCAATGGGTGTCAGCCCACTCTGGTAGAAGGGAAGAGTAAGTCCACGTGTGGAATAAATTCACCAGTTTGAAAAACCCACCTATGTTACTTTCTTCGTGGAAGCTATACTATGTACTATGTATTATGTACTATGTACTATGTACTATGTAACAGTTCATTCAGGTGGGGAATGCCCCTTGTAGCAGGCAGGAAAAGCTCCAGAAACTATAAATGTCAGCCTAGCCTCTGTGCGTCTGGGGCTGCGATGTAGTCCGCACCACCTCCAGTGAGGGAATGAATAATGGATTATCTCTTAAGCTCTTTAGGTCTTTGAAATGAACCCCATTATGATTTGTTTAGCAAGTCCTGTTTCTCCTCAAAGCTGATTTTCATCAGTCGTCTCTCTAATGGAATCAGGAAGTCAACACTTTACCCAAACAACGTCATGGTTCCACAGAGCAGCACCTTATTGTCCTTGTCCTCGGTGACAGCTGATCATTTAGACAAGAATAGTGGATCTCCGTTCTGCATCAGAGCAGGGGAAGCTGCTCTTGCCCTGTTCTGCGAGGATCCAACGAGCGGAGTGGCAGACAGAGGTAACAAAACAAAGACACATAGTAAATAAGGTGTTTAAAGGGCTATAAACAACAATATGAGTGTAAGCTAATCACTAGAACAGAGAGCTGAGTGATTTATACAGAGACATTTGTGAGGAAGCTGAGCTGACAGGTGAGCTCAAGATGAACTCTCAAGCCAGTTTCTCACTGCAAGCATCAGCGGATCGGAAAGGCAGCGAAGCGGCACCGCTTCAAATAGAATCCAGTTATAGTCTATGGAGTGTTTCAAACCAGCCGCGCCGCGCCGCGCCGCTAAAGATAGGAACGAGTTCTACTTTTTTCTGCGAGCCGCTTCCGGGAAACGTCAATTTCCGCAGTTCACGTAGTGCGAGACAGGAAACCACACAGGGTTTCAGTGCGAAATCCCCGTATATTTTCAAAATAAAATGCAACGTTGTGATGTTATATATAACTTACGTCAGCACGTGTGACCGAACAGCTTTGTGTAACACCAGCTTCTTTCGAGAAGTGCAACGGTGTGATGCCTCGCGGGGGTTGTGATCTCTCGATGAGGAAGGTGTCGGAAGTCTGAAGGTATTTTAGAATCTCGCGGGTACAGCGAGGCGCAGCGAGGAAGCCGTGTCGCGGCCAAGACTCTCCCGGTGTGAAAAGGACCACTTTGAAGTTCGCGATTGAGCCGCCCCGCTGCCGTTCCGTTCCGCTGATGCTTGCAGTGTGAAACCGGGGTCAGAGCTAATCCGAGGGCAAGGGCCTCATTTACAAAGCTTGCTTGTGCACAAAGCATGGTCTGAAAATGGTTTAACTAAATTTTTACGAAGCCTTTGTGATTTGTAGAATAAAGTGTGATGTTTAATGTGTAAGAGCATTTTGGAGACAGACTGGCAGGATTGCCGGTAAGGTGATGACATCAGTCACCTAGGTGAATCCGGGCCCATCAGCCCTCACTGGAAACCGTGGTTTTTCCGATTTACACTTCAGGGAGAAAAGAAGATCTTAACCAGGTCTTGGAGGCTCATGTTTGTAAACATCTAATGCTTAAAGATCTCATCTCTATGTGTTCTTCACTGGACCCCCCCCCCCCCCCCCCCCATGGCATTTTATAACACAATCAGTCATTCACCCATTCACACACACATTCACACCCTGGTGGTTGGCTTGAACACTGTTGCTAATCACTTAAACATTCTCCCTCTCCTGATAATAACATTTTACTTTCTTTGACATTGGATGTGCTACTACTAGTTTATCCGTTTAATTATAGATCCACTAGGATAAATATAATAAAGTTTATCTCTCACCAAATAGAATATTTACTAAGAAATCACAATGTAACCATAGACACATTGCTTGGTGTATATGATGTTTGTGCGTGCGTGCGTGCGTGCGTGCGTGCGTGCGTGCGTGTGTGTGTGTGTGTGTGTGTGTGTGTGTGTGTGTGTGTGTGTGTGTGTGTGTGTGTGTGTGTGTCTGCTCTGTCTTCTCGATCCCCAGTGAGTCGTGGTGGATGGCTGCTTATACTGAGCCAGGATCCTCTGGAGGTTTCTTCCTGTTAAAAGGGAGTTTTCCTCTCCACAGTCGCTAAATGCTTGCTTAGTATGAGGATTGCTGTATAGTCACTGACACTAGTCAGTGACTTGATGCAACCTGCTGGGTTCCTTATATAGGAAACTTTTCACTGATTGGCTTAACTCATTCACTGCCAATGACGACTTAAGAACAAACATCTCAGCCCTGAAGCCGATCTTCATCTGCATACGTCACACGTCACATGATCAGGAAGCAGACCATCCATGTGCTAGGAGATCGTTTTGGGCCGTTCCTGTAAAAAAAAGTGAGGCGCGAACCGGAAAAGCTTCTGCCGATCACAATTCAACAACAGATTATGAAAGAACGGATAACGCTCAAACACGCTGATTCTTCCTGATTTAAGGGGTGAGTGTCCTCTTTGTTTTGGTTGTTTTGGCATCAACATCATCCTAGCGCGCAATGTTCTGTGACTCTTCAAAAAACAGTAAAAACGGTGAGAAACGCTGGCAGCGAAGGCCGTTAGCGATCAGGAAACGGCTGGCAGTGAATGAGTTAATGAACTGACCTCTATTGGAATGTTTACTATGCGAAGGTCCTTGAGACGACTCTTGCCGTCATTTGGCGCTTTATAAATAAACTTGAATTGAATTGGTGATGAGCTACATTGTAGTGATGCCTTGAGGCACACTGACATAGGCGAGGCTGCCGTACACAGGCGCCAACAGTCCCTCTGAACACCACCAGCAGGCAAGGGGGGGTTAAGTGTCTTGCCCAAGGACACAACGACAGCGACAGACTGAGCGGGGCTCGAATCTGCAAACTCCCGATTACGGGGCGAGCACTTAACTCCTGTGCCACCGTCGCCCCAAAGATGTGTTGAAATATAACATATTGGTTTGGCTGCTGGGTAACAAACTAGAGCTAGGTAAGCAAACCAAGGATAGGGGAGGCTTTCCACCGTGGCCAAAGATCTGTAAGGTCGCCATTGTACACATGATGGTTTTTCAGGTTTCAGTACTGCTTTTCTCTTCAACAGCAGCGGCCTTGCTCTCAGAGATCCGCAAATGTGCTGCTCCATCTACACGGAGGCAGCCCAGGGAGGCAGATACCCGGTTTCTCCTGTCTCCCGGCCAGAAATGCCTTCTCTTTGGAATGGCTCAATGTGTATTTTTTGCTGAAAGTGCCAGAAATCCTCTGTTAGCTTTGGAGATAGCATGCAGCTAATGTCCCGCTGATCTCCGACTGTGGTGGAGGAGCAGAGCATTAGGTGACGCAAGCAGCCAGGGCACCCAGCTCTGGTTGCAGAGGTCTGAGGCTATGCTTGTGTTTTTACACAGGTGACCAGCCAACTACAGACTTGCGCAGATGCCATGTGAGTCAGCTGCACTGCAGTTTTGTCTTTGACAAGTGTACCTTCTCAGTGGCCTAGTGATAGATTGTCTGCCCTGGGACTGAGAGATTGCAGTTCAAATCGCGGTTGGGTCATAACAATAACTTTAATAATGGGACCCAATGCCTCTCCGCTTGACACTCAGCTTTAAGGGGTTGGATTGGGGGTTAAACCACCAAATAGTTTCCGAGCACAGCCGCAGCTGCAGCTCACTGCTTCCCAAAGAGATGGGCCAAATGCAGAGATGTAATTTCACTTGTGTGTGATGTGTGTGATGATGACTGTGGGACTTTAGCTGTATGAACTACAAGAGTGTCCATCAGCTATCACCAGCTGGCTAAAAGAC